CCAAAAGTTCTATCTTGGTCTCATCAGACCAGATAATCTTATTTCTCACCATCTTGGAGTCCTTCAGGTGTTTTTTCATGTGTCTTGCACTGAGGAGAGGCTTCCGTCGGGCCACTCTGCCATAAAGCCCCGACTGGTGGAGGGCTGCCGTGATGGTTGACTTTCTACAACTTTCTCCCATCTCCCGACTGCATCTCTGGAGCTCAGCCACAGTGATCTTTGGGTTCTTCTTTATCTCTCTCACCAAGGCTCTTCTCCCCCGATAGCTCAGTTTGGCCAGCTCTAGGAAGGGTTCTGGTCGTCCCAGATGTCTTCCATTTAAGGATTATGGAGGCCACTGTGCTCTTAGGAACCTTAAGTGCAGCAGAATTTTTTTTGTAACCTTGGCCAGATCTGTGTCTTGCCACAATTCTGTCTCTGAGCTCTTCAGGCAGTTCCTTTGACCTCATGATTCTCATTTGTTCTGACATGCACTGTGAGCTGTAAGGTCTTGTATAGACAGGTGTGTGGCTTTCCTAATCAAGTCAAATCAGTATAATCAAACACAGCTTGACTCAAATGAAGGTGTAGAACCATCTCCAGGATGATCAGAAGAAATGGACAGCCCCTGAGTTAAATATATGAGTGTCACAGCAAAGGGTCTGAATACTTAGGACCATGTGATATTTCAGTTTTTCTTTTTTAATAAATCTGCAAAAATGTCAACAATTCTGTGTTTTTCTGTCAATATGGGGTGCTGTGTGTACATTAATGAGGAAAAAAAAATAACTTAAATGATTTTAGCAAATGGCTGCAATATAACAAAGAGTGAAAAATTTAAGGGGGTCTGAATACTTTCCGTACCCACTGTATATGTGACCCTGGACCACAAAACCAGTCATAAGTCACACGGGTATATTTGTTGCAATAGCCAACAATACATTGTATGGGTCAGAATTATTGATTTTTCTTTTATGCCAAAAATCATTAGGATATTAAGTAAATATCATGTTCCATGAAGATATTTGGTAAATTTCCTACCGTAAATATATCAAAAAGTTATTATCATTACTAATATGCATTGCTAAGGGCTTCATTTGGACAACTTTAAATGTGATTTTCTCAATATTTTGATTTGATTTTTTTTTTGCACCCTCAGATTCAAGATTTTTAAATAGTTGTATCTCGGCCAAATATTGTTCTATCCTAACAAACCGTACATCAATGGAAAGCTTATATATTCAGCTTTCAGAAATAATCAATTGACCCTTATGACTGGTTTTGTGATCCTGGGTCATATATAGTATTGCAGTTTCCACAAAAAATATTAAGCAGCACAATTGATACTAATAAGAAATGTTACTTGAGCACCAAATCTGCATTTTAGAATTATTTCTGAAGGATCATGTGACACTGAAGACTTGAGTAATGATGCTGAAAATTCAGCTTTTTTAATGATTTACTTTTGTAAAATTAGATTTTTTAAATATATTCAAATAGGAAACACATTATTTTAAATTGTAATAATATTTAAGAATATTGCTTTTTATTGTTTTTTTCCCCCTTGAATAAATGCAGCCTTGGTGAGCATAAAAAAAACATTTTAAAAAATCTTGCCGACCCGACCCCAAACTTTTGAATGGTAGTGTATGTATATATATATTTTAAATTTTGTTGAATGGTAGTGTATGTATATATATATATTTAATTTTGTTGAATGATAGTGTATGTACAGTGGGTACGGAAAGTATTCAGACCCCTTTAAAATTTTCACTCTTTGTTATATTGTAGCCATTTGCTAAAATCATTTAAGTTAATTTTTTTTCCTCATTAATGTACACACAGCACCCCATATTGACAGAAAAACACAGAATTGTTGACATTTTTGCAGATTTATTAAAAAAGAAAAACTGAAATATCACATGGTCCTAAGTATTCAGACCCTTTGCTGTGACACTCATATATTTAACTCAGGTGCTGTCTATTTCTTCTGATCATCCTTGAGATGGTTCTACACCTTCATTTGAGTCTAGCTGTGTTTGATTATACTGATTGGACTTGATTTGGAAAGCCACACACCTGTCTATATAAGACCTTACAGCTCACAGTGCATGTCAGAGCAAATGAGAATCATGAGGTCAAAGGAACTGCCTGAAGAGCTCAGAGACAGAATTGTGGCAAGGCACAGATCTGGCCAAGGTTACAAAAAAAATTCTGCTGCACTTAAGGTTCCCAAGAGCACAGTGGCCTCCATTCCTTAAATGGAAGACGTTTGGGACGATCAGAACCCTTCCTAGAGCTGGCCGTCCGGCCAAACTGAGCTATCGGGGGGGAAGAGCCTTGGTGAGAGAGGTAAAGAAGAACCCAAAGATCACTGTGGCTGAGCTCCAGAGATGCAGTCGGGAGATGGGAGAAAGTTGTAGAAAGTCAACCATCACTGCAGCCCTCCACCAGTCGGGGCTTTATGGCAGAGTGGCCCGACGGAAGCCTCTCCTCAGTGCAAGACACATGAAAGCCTGCATGGAGTTTGCTAAAAAACACCTGAATAAGATTCTCTGGTCTGATGAGACCCAGATAGAACTTTTTGGCCTTAATTCTAAGTGGTATGTGTGGAGAAAACCAGGCACTGCTCATCACCTGTCCCAACAGTGAAGCATGGTGGTGGCAGCATCATGCTGTGGGGGTGTTTTTCAGCTGCAGGGACAGGATGACTGGTTGCAATCGAGGGAAAGATGAATGCGGTCAAGTACAGGGATATCCTGGACGAAAACCTTCTCGAGTGCTCAGGACCTCAGACTGGGCTGAAGGTTTACCTTCCAACAAGACAATGACCCTAAGCACACAGCTAAAATAATGAAGGAGTGGCTTCACAACAACTCTGTGACTGTTCTTGAATGGCCCAGCCAGAGCCCTGACTTAAACCCAATTGAGCATCTCTGGAGAGACCTAAAAATGTCTGTCCACCAACGTTTACCATCCAACCTGGCAGAACTGGAGAGGATCTGCAAGGAGGGATGGCAGAGGATCCCCAAATCCAGGTGTGACAAACTTGTTGCATCTTTCCCAAAAAGACTCATGGCTTTATTAGATCAAAAGGGTGCTTCTACTAAATACTGAGCAAAGGGTCTGAATACTTAGGACCATGTGATATTTCAGTTTTTCTTTTTTAATAAATCTGCAAAAATGTCAACAATTCTGTGTTTTTCTGTCAATATGGGGTGCTGTGTGTACATTAATGAGGGAAAAAAATTTACTTAAATGATTTTAGCAAATGGCTGCAATATAACAAAGAGTGAAAAATGTAAGGGGGTCTGAATACTTTCCGTACCCACTGTATGTGTATATATATATATTTAATTATTTTAGAGTTGTGAGATTCTAGATGCTGTAATATCCCAGAATGCTGCTGTTCAATGATTAAGGGACAGTCAGTACTGATCGCTTTCTCCTTCTCAGATTCATAACCTTTATTTTAAAACCAGTCTGAGCTGATGACCAGTCTCCTGTTCGTATAAAATAAGAAATCCTCTGTAGTTTGTGACGGTGTCAAGCCGTGGGAATGGCTTTCTCAATGACACACTTCACCTGCGTGACCTCGGGTAATCTCACCGGTGAAGCCCTTAATGTGATTTTCCGGCTTTGCCGAGAGTTTGGTGATGGACTTTATTGGAAACAAGTAAACCCCAGTAATCTGTGTCCTCGCTGTAACACGTTTAATTCACATCCAGAGAAATGGCTCTGCATTCATTCTTTCAGTATCATTCTCTTTGAGACCTTTCAATGGCTGTTTCATGAAAACTGAATATGTGTACTTGTTATAGAGCAGAATAGAGTGCTTCATTGTCATTACAGTGAGTTTCCTCTTCATTTTAATACGTGTGTTGAAAACAGACGGCTGTTTAGGTGAACTGAGTGGACAGATCCGTTTGCTATGAGACCAATGTGATTCCTGCACTGATATGATTATTATAGCACTTGTGGAGAATATGATGCACTGACATGAAATTGTCATCAGTGACACTTGAGAGGGCCAATCAGGGTTTCCGTTATTGGTTTGCACAATGATTATTAATGTCATCTATTAACAGTCAACCCTCGGAAGTGTTCTTTTATCCATTTAAAGTGGCTTACTGTCTTTAGAGATATGTATGTGTCATAAGGGCAGCTGTCGTCTAAATGAGCGTCAGTTTGACTCTGATGCGGTATTGGAGCAGCAGTGCGTCAGCTGTTGGTTAACGTCCTACTTAGGAGGCTCTCCTTTAATCAGATTGGCTGTAAGTCCATCAGTTTGCAGAGCTTCGAGAGCCTCACCTCACTGTCATTTTCAGTTACTGTTTTTTTTGATGGCCTTTTTGGTGGGTTGAGTTTAACCCAAAAACAAATGTTGGCATTGCCGAAAATGTCTTCAAGTAAGTCCAATTGCTGAAAAGTCAAAAGTTTCAAAATAATTGAAGAACGAGAAAGTAATTTTTTTTGGATTCCTGGAAGAAAACTGAAATGCATAAGTGGAATAACTAGGAAGCAGCTCTGAGTGATGATGCTGTGTGAGGTCAGAGGTCAGAGAAATGGGATATTTCAGGAGTAAGTAGATTAGCTGGTAAATCTGGAGCGGGTCTGAAATAGCTGCTTTATTCACTCTTTGGCTTGAAGTGAGCACAGAACAGCAGCATTAACTCAGACTCTTGCTGTTTGAAAATGAGCAGGACGTACAGCCGATCTGGATGGATCCGTAAGAAGATTGTGCATCTTAAAGGAAGGCAAAATAAATGATATAGTGTCATTTGCTTTTGATTCTTACTACGAGAGCGTGTATGATCGAGGGGCAGGTTATCACTTCAGCTGTGGATTCAATGGATCGAAGAGAAAGTAACATTGATTTTCTGTAGCAGTTTTTGGGTGAGTAATAATCACAACTCATTCTCTAGTCTGAGACAATATCATTGAACAGCAAATCCAATGTGTGCAGGTGAAATAGTGGTGAATTAAGATTGCCGAAAATGTCTTCAAGTAAGTCCAATTGCTGAAAAGTCAAAAGTTTCAAAATAATTGAAGATTCCTGGAAGAAAACTGAAATGCATAAGTGGAATAACTAGGAAGCAGCTCTGAGTGATGATGCTGTGTGAGGTCAGAGGTCAGAGAAATGGGATATTTCAGGAGTAAGTAGATTAGCTGGTAAATCTGGAGCGGGTCTGAAATAGCTGCTTTATTCACTCTTTGGCTTGAAGTGAGCACAGAACAGCAGCATTAACTCAGACTCTTGCTGTTTGAAAATGAGCAGGACGTACAGCCGATCTGGATGGATCCGTAAGAAGATTGTGCATCTTAAAGGAAGGCAAAATAAATGATATAGTGTCATTTGCTTTTGATTCTTACTACGAGAGCGTGTATGATCGAGGGGCAGGTTATCACTTCAGCTGTGGATTCAATGGATCGAAGAGAAAGTAACATTGATTTTCTGTAGCAGTTTTTGGGTGAGTAATAATCACAACTCATTCTCTAGTCTGAGACAATATCATTGAACAGCAAATCCAATGTGTGCAGGTGAAATAGTGGTGAATTAATTAAAAATGCAATTATGTTTTGTATGAAGGCAGGTTATAGCCTTGATTTGAGAAGCTATGGATGGCTGGAACATTTCACACCAAAAACAAAACCAAACTGTATTTTGCATAAAAAATGAAACCTGATTTATTTATTTTTTGCATTGAGAGTTAAACACACTGCTATTCCATAATGTAGTTACTGTATTGCATCCAGATCCAGTTTAACTTTTGAGAGGTTATTTGTAGTAGCAAAAATGATTTTTCTTTTAAAGGTATAATATTATTATTAATTAACAATTGATATATTATTTTTACGTTAATAAGGAGAAACTGTACTTGCACAACTGTACTCATCACAAAAAGTAAGCAGCACACTGTTTTTGATAATAACAAATGTTTCTTGGGCATCAAATCAGCAAATTATATTGCTTTCTGAAGGATCGTGTGCTGGAGTAATGAAGCTGAAAATTCATCTTGCTGTTTTTACTGTATTGCTGATGAAATAAATGCAGCTGTAATTGCTGAGTATAAGCAACGACTTAAAATAGATCTTACTGAATCGTTGACGTCTGTAGTGCTAATTCATTTATCCTGTGCCCAAACAGATATTGCCATGGAGGAGGGAGTATTATGGACTTTGGTAAGGAATGGCAAAAACATACTTTGGTGGAATAGTCAAGTAATAATCAGAACGATGTTACACTATGTTTGACTTTGTCCTCTTGCCTTTTACATTTTAAAGGCATTTTGTGTTCCTAATGTAATCAGTAAAGCAACAAAGATTTCCTATGTCTACTTGTTTGTTTGACATCTATATTGCAGAACTCATTAGTTGGTGAATGGTTTTGCTCACCCTACGAGACTCTACAGTCTCTAAGTTTCTAAGTAGATCATGTCTGCTTGATTCTTAAAGTGACGGGTTCCAGGGTTCCCAGAGCCAAATACACAATGGTTCGAGAGGCGCTGTGTTACCTGATCCCCTATCATATGCAGTGCTCCATGGGATGTGGTGGACTGGCCTGCAAGTACGAGGACCCTTCGCACTGGAGTGAAGACGATCAGGCCATCAGAGGAATCTACTCGTCTTGGTACACGGCATGCACTTAAACATGGCCTTTACCAAATGAGGTCTTGTGAACCGAAGCTTCTCTGTATGTTGAGTTCTCCCAGCACATTTTTCTTTATGCCAAACAGAGTTACAAAAATAATGAGTTTCTTTCCCCCAAAATGTTTCCTCTTCAGAAAGTCAACCGATCATCAAAGCCTTGCTTTTACTTGATTTTACATCCCAAAAATGTCAGCTTTAAGATTTTACTTCAATAAATACAAGTTTTATGCAATAACAGCATGTACGAATGGATTAGTTCAACTCATGGCTTCTCTTGTTTCTTTTTTAGGATCACCGACAATCTGCTGGCCATGGCCCGCCCTTCCACCGAAATCATTGAAAAATTTTACATAATAGACCAGTTTTTGAGGTAAAGCTGATGATTGTAAAAACAAAACTGGTTCTGGAGTGTGTTTGGTGCACTTTTATAATGAGCTGTTTCGTCATGTTAAGATGTGGTTTGAAGACCGTTATTAACCTCCAGTGCCCTGGCGAACATGCCAGCTGTGGAAACCCACTGGATCCCGAGAGCGGCTTCACTTACCGGCCGGAGACATTCATGGAGGCTGGCAGTGGGTGACGCTTTCTTTTTGTACATCGTCTGATTCTGCCTAACTTTCAGTATGTATTTTCCCTGTGTAATGTAAAGAATCTTCTTGACGCACTGAGTTGTTCTTATGTTTTCAGGTTGTAAAGGTACTCTTGTTGCTCTATTTTAGTATATTTCTACAACTTTAGATGGAATGACTATGGTGTGGCGTCTCTCACATCCATCTTGGATATGGTGAAAGTCATGTGTTTTGCCATCCAAGAAGGCAAGATGGCTGTTCACTGTCATGCAGGGCTTGGCAGAACAGGTACAGTTCTGTTTTATATGTTAAAATATATTTATAATTTAATAAACATACCTGATTTATAGGTTGCTGGGTTGATTCTTACAAGCAGCCTTGATCTAATATTATTGTGTCCTCAAGCAGCACACTTAACCCGACTTTACTCCAGAGGGATTTTCTGGATAATAATGCTGCCATAAGTCGCTTTAGTTAAAGGGGTCATGAACTGAGAAACCAAAATTCCCTTGATCTTTTGACATCTAAGAGGTCATTGTACTATAAAAACATCCTGTAAGTTTCAGAACTCGTTACTTTCTCGTTAGTCTAAAAACAGCTTATCAGGGGCCATTCACATGTCGCGCCTAAAAACTTGTGGGAAACGCTAGGCGCGCCGCTTTCTGCTTTTTTTCCAAAGCGTTCGGGCGCTTGCGCTCCGGAGGTGTCTGCCGTTGCTAAGCAACCATGACCTGCGCTCTCCATGAAGACTCGGAAGTTTCAGCAAAGGATAAATGGATTTGCAGCACTAAAAATCACTTGCAGTAGCTCTGCTACTAAATTTTTTTTAAAATGGCAATCCCTGTACAGCTATGATCAGCTGTTCCTTCATCTTGGCTGAGCTTTCTATGTTGTTACGGGAAAGGATGAAGCTGATTGGTTGGTTCTTGTCACATGACTCGCGGCGCGCTTGCGGCATTCTGAAAAGTTTAAATGTTTTTATCTCTGTGGCACGGATGCTCCTGGAAAAAATGCCTGTTTAGCCCCGCCCACCGATTCTACATCGCTGCCTGTTTAGCCCCGCCCACCGATTCTACATCCCTGCCTGTTTAGCCCCGCCAAC